AATTCACAGCGGTTCACTACTGTGTGTGGTCGATGGTCTGGTTGTTGTTTCTGCAAGGGGGTCAGCATTTATTTGCAATCTCCACTTGTGAAGTGAGTGGATGAATCTTCAGGGAGACGTGCGGATTCGATTGGGCGATGACAACCTTCACAAAGTTTGCCACAAGTGTTCTAGATAAGATACAAAGCAACAGCAAGATATTAACACATTTAATTGACTAAATTGCCCACATCCTTTTCCCTGCAGCATAATCCTCCTACGTGACTACCTCTCCTTAAGTCCTTACGCCACGTCATGGGACAAACTCTTTATTGCTTCCCTTTAATTACCGCAAACCGAGATACAAAATTCCTGCCTCAATGGAAAGTGACCCCTCTGATACAGCCCTAAGAATGGCTGCATTGTGCGGGAGTTACTTCTTTCGGGAAACGGCTCTCCTGCCCCCGGGGGTTATTTGGCCCTCTTATAAGATCTCGGACGTTGGAAAGATGTTGCACACACTGCAGCCACCCACCCACGGAGGAAGGAGCAAAGGCGTTTGAGAAGCCCTCGACTCTCAATATGTACGTAAGTGGCACGTGCAGTTGCTAATCATTCGTCATAATTTTTATGATATGATTATAATAATCACCATGATCATTTTATCGTTATTATTATCATGAACATTTTATTCCATCAGGTGCCTGTGACATAGACATGGAACACATTGCAAGTTTCACTATGAACACTGCCATGCTATTTTAATTACAATTTTAAATTCACCAGACTACTTTTACATTGGATGAACATTTGCTCATGTTAAATAGTATCAGGCAATGCAGATGATACCCATGTCGGATCCGAATAAGTATGTTAGAGATGTATGTAAAATTAATCTCAAAGTTACAAAGTACCTAAAGGCTGAATGTAGCAGATGTATGTTGAAATTTTTTCACACCATTCGTAGCTAACCAAGCTCATCGGAGGTGCGATTAACACGGCAGCTGTCGCGTGTACTGTATTAGCAATATACCAAACAAGTATATCATCCTGAATGATCAATTGTATATATTTTTGGTGTAAATCTAGAAATTGCTTGACTTACTTCATTGAAAGCTGTACATTTAAATATCATTCATGTGTTGATTTAGCATATCACTGTTTCCGAATGTATAAAATGAGTTAGATTATTTGGAAAATCAATAGCGGTTGTTGTTGGATCAACATTGTACCCGATGAAGGATTGTGTCATTTCCACCACTGGCAAGGACTGCCGAAAGGGATGAGCACTGGCCAACACTCGGTTTGTCATGTGAATGCTTGGACTTTGTGTTTTATGAAATAGCTTCCATTCATCTCCCCACATAAAAAAGAACAAAAATTTTAGTCCATCAGCTGAAAGGTTTTTGCAGACTAAAAAAATATCCAAAGGCTTTGTTTCAGCACGCTGGAGGGAAAGCAGTCTCGACTTTTTGGATATTTATTTTATTATCGGTAATGCTCCTTTAATTAATGCAGAATTCACCCGATCTCGTTAGATCTCGGAAACTAAGCAGGTTCGAACCTGGATAGTGCCTGGATGTGTGACCACCATGTACACACAAGCTGTTATAGGCTGTAGGGGTGGGGGTACGTGGTGGGGAGGGGGGTGCAGAAAAATCCAAGATTCTGACTTTATACGTGTTTGTATGTATGTATATGTATGTTGAACTTCTTTCGCACCGTGCTAATCAGAGGTGCGGGGGAAGGACAACAAACTATATTACAAAAAACAGTTCTAAATAAATTAGTTTTCAATTTAGGCTTAAAAGTGCATAGCTCCAGTGGCTTCCTAGTATCGCAAGGAAGAGCGTTCCAGACAGCCGCAGAAGCGCATATCAAAGTGCGCGACGCAGTGACCGTCTTTGCTGTGATGTTTATCCAACACCCGGCTGCAAGTGTCATCGGCACAACTGACAAACAGCTTCAACACGACTGGCACGGCGTATCGAGGCCCTTATGAAGCAGTGAATTGACAAACACGGTTGCACGTACGCGAACGCGTATAATCCTTCAGAAAATCGCGTAATAATGACTTTCCAAATTCGAGCTGTCTGCTATTTACCCTGCTGTCCCACCACTCTCTCCAGCAGCACAGTGCCCCAAGATGATCTTGCAGAGCGTGGCCGTACTGCCACCCACAGCAGCGCCGCAGGGCAGCCTTCCATTAATGGAGCCACACGCACAGGGCCCGGCCAGCCAGCCCCTGAAGGGTCCTGAGCCAGGTCGCGCGTGGACCGTGGCCTCCGGAGGGAGCCAGGGCATGGCCGTGTGGGTCCCCTTTGCCGTTGTCTCTACGCTGCTGCTGCTGCTTTTGTTCGTCGTCCTCGCCGTGGTCGTGGTGATCGCAGTGTCGTGTTCCAGGAGTGGCGCCTGCAGCAGGGACGTGAACGTGACATCTCTGGAAGGGGGGCCCTCCTTTGAGGCACAGCATTATGGCTTTGGTGTGTAATGTGATCAGTGCTGGGTTAAGGAATTTATATTTCACTGGCATAATATAGCGTTGAGCCCCCTGTGTGACGCTTGACTGGGAAAATTTGATCGATGAGTAAACAACATCTGGCACAGGGCCTTAACCTTAACCCTAAGATATGGGTCACTCGGTTTCAATTTAGTTGAAGGGGGGGAAAAAAGTTCACCTTAAGTTCAGCAGCTTGTGGTTTTCCAAAACCTAATAATATCAACACAATACTGTTCATGGTGGGATAGAATGTACGACGTGTAACTTTCATTTGCGATGTGTTCACTGCGTGCTAAATGCATTTATTTGGCGAACATATTTTATTATATATTTTAGTTTGTGGGGAGGATAACTTTTTTTAGAGGGCCGCTTTATACGTTCTATTTTTGGACGGACATGTTAGACATTTGATCGATTTTCCAGACAGCTTAATTCGAATAAATGTCACATTCGAGAGTATTTTTAAATCCTTTATATTAAGTTCGCTTGCTTGCGTGCTTGCGTGCTTGCCTGCTTGCGTGCTTGCTTGCTTGCTTACGACCGTGCAAACCTTTTGGTCGTTTTTTAACCCACTTCCCGTGATCCAATCGAGCTGACATTTTGCACACAGACTCGTTGTGCGAGACAATTAATGTTCGTGAAAAATTTTTTCCAAAATTTTACACTGTTTAGGGAAAACAAATTTAATATTTAATTACCAATTGTTTAATACTGCAGACAATCATCTGACCCATAGGTGGCATCCATCTCAAGCCATAAGACGAGAGGACTCTAGCCGCCACGCATATAAAGGATTTAGAGTGAAAAACTTTGTTTTTACGGGTTATACTTATTTAAATTAAAAACCCATTTGATGCCTGAAATATCCTGCATACCTGAACATAAACCTGCCACTAGAGGGCCCTCTTGAAGCTGTAACCTCTGAGCAGCTGTATCAATTACACTGCTGTTAGCTTAGCATTGAACGTGATCAATATTTAATTTTCCATTAATGAAAAGCAATGTTCAAATCGTGGCCTTTTATACATACATATGGGGATCACTGTCAGCTTCAGTGAAGCCACGCTGTGTGCATCCATCGTTCCATCGGGATTGGAAATGCAAATTGTGTAAATCCAGAATTATGCTGAAATGTTGTATACTGCATAACGGTTGCCATCAACGTGAAATCAAATGCGGCTCATATGTATGTAAAACAGACCGACAGTGTGTATTTCATTCCTTCGAAAACTTAATGTATTTGTTGCCCCAATAAAAATTCTATTTCGTATGTTATCCACTGATTGCCCATGACAACCACCTTACTTATATTATTAAAGCTACTGTATAGTCTATACAACAGATCAAGTATTCAATTATGTAATACGCTTTGAGTCAATTTAGGCAGCATTCATGGGTATTGCATAGGAGATTTGCAGATATAAAATATGTCGTGATGCAAGTTAAAGTAAACTGTTAGGGCCAGCTTCAGATGTATTTTGATTACAGTATATTTTTTTGATTGCGTGTCACTTTTGTAACACTTGAATGGAAAAGGTTCCAATGGCACGGTGATAGGGTAATTTTTAAAAAATATATATAATGTTATGTAATTGCAGAGATGCTACGGCCTCCACTGTAATTTATTTATGACATCGGTATAATAATAGGTTGTTCAAAAAAGATTAGGCTGCTCAACCATTAGTGGTACTGTTTCACCATAATGGCACAGTCTCAATTTTTTTAATAAAAATTATAATTTAGGGTTAAGGCTTCAACGATATTGCACTCATCCTATTATCCCTCCTGACTTAACAAAATAAATATGACCTGTAAAGATCCACACAGGAAAGACAATGGTGTCTGTACTATGAAAAGACCCTACTCTGCCATTCAATTGTCGAGTTTCCACCACTGGCTTATGACCAGGATCGCAAATGAGCATCACCCAGTAATCACCATCCTTGCTTCCCCCAACGATTTTACAAATTCCATTCAAGAATCAACATTTTTTTTCCTCGTTTTTTTGTCACTTTTCTATTGTTTAATACGTTCGAAACAGCTATACTGTACTTGTTTTATTGACCCATTGTGGAATGATGGGCTGAAGCAACTGTAATGTAATGCAACGGCCATGGAGCTGCCTTGAAAAATAACAACCGCCGTTCGTCACTAAGTGGCGGCGACGTCACCATGGCGTTTATGCTCAAAGGCTACCTGGGAGGAGGTCATGGGGCAATCCCAGGTGCCATGCGTTGACTGGCATGGCTGACAGATGCACCACCTGTACTCACTCTCCACTGTGCCAACTTGATGTGTTTAATCCGCCTGGCGCTCCGCTCGTTGTGAGCGTCGCTCCTCTGCCCTCGGTTGTTGCTGGAGGGCGACTGCCTCCAACTGCCCAGTAGCAGCGTCCTTCACGAGCCTCTTCCACAAAGGCCGATCTCGACACCGCTGGTACCAGTCATCGGTAACTCCACTCAGCTCCACGTCCTCCTGTACCGCGTCAGCCCATCTCTTTTCTAGCCCGTGCCGTGCGTGTTTAGCCCCCTCTATCCGGCCAAACAGAAGCTGAGAAAGAATCAGAATATGTATTTGTACTGGAGGAAATCCGATGAGCTATGAAGCTCCTTTTTACAGATGTTTCTCACCACACACACAGGGGATTAACCCCGAGGGTTTCTTCTCAGTCAGCTTCGCGTGCAAGCTCAGGCAAGGGTTTCCAAGAGGGGAGAGAATTGGCCAAAGCCCGATGTGAGTCAGGGAGCCCACAGCCGTGTGCTTGATATGTGCGTTTTGAGTGAGATCACCTCCAGGAGATTCCGGATGACAGTAAATGGAATACGCAGCACGAGCAGTTAGCGACTACGGGGACAGAAACGCAAAGGTCCCGAACCAACTATTTCTATGCAAGTGGTGAGGAATAGGATATGTAGTGAGACAGAAGATGGCTTCATGCATGAGCTTGTGCCAACCCAGACCCGCTTGGCAATAACAACACCAAACACCGTCCACCAATCAGAATCCGCAGGTGGCGGCAGTTATGACGAAATCTGGGGGCTCGGTTTAGTTTGATGCAGGAGCTGTATTCAGTCTGCCCTCGAGCCTTGAGCGGGTAATCTCGTATTGCGTTCTCTCTCCCTCTCGCCTGCCCGTCCGTGTCCATGAGGCCCGGTCGTGACCCTAGTGTGCATTTCAAACGCGACACCTCGTAAGCGAAGAGGATGAAATCGCTCGTATTGTCCGTGGGTTTCATCGGCATTTCGTGTGCCTTGTAGTGCCTGTCACTGTGCTAATATAAACATTCAAAGCGCATGAACGAGCGGTGTCTGTTATTTTAGTTCGAATCCCGCTCACGGCTAAGGCCAGTGACGATTTATTTGAACCGGTTCTGGACCTCCCCTGGGTCGACTCAGCCTTAAATGAGCACTCGGTGTGGTGTGTCAACATCGCCACTCGGGAGACGCGCAGTAGGGCGTGGTGCTGGCCAACCACACTCTCGTGTGCCGTGCCGGCCCTTATAGGTGCTCGCTAACAGCAGTCTGTTAAGGCTATACAGGGGATCATTGTTAGTGGAGCAAGGGCCTGTCGGCTTGGGGGTTGTCCATAAATGACGTCACGCACCTGGGGGGGGGGGTCAGACATTTGTGAAGATGTGTCACGAGGGGGGGGGGGGGTGAGAAATGTGACGTCACATCAAAATACGCAACTTTTAATGAATATAGGCAACACGTTCTACTTAATTAAATAGATTTTTAAATAAATGTTTTCTCCTATAACATCAGAGTGCTGCGCCACATTAAATACGCACTACAATGCCAATAGTTTAAAGCGATTTGAAGCATGTTTAATATTTTTTTGGGGTGGGGGGGCAGAGCTTTGTGACGTCATATTTGAGGGGGGCTGACTTTTTGTGACGCCGTGTGACGAAGGGGGGGGGGGGTCAAAAATCGTCCAAAATCGCGTGACGTCATTTATGAACGGCCCCTTGGCCACGTGTGGACATCAAAGCCGCGGATGCCACGGTCCACCATGTCTATAGGACACGCGATTGGGGCGACGTGGGGACCCTCCGGACTGCGTCAGCGTCGACTCACATGGCAGAGACGTCTGCCACGAATACAGGGCGCAGTGAGGGGGTTGCCGAGACTGTCGTTGTGCGGGCGGCAGTGAGATCCGTCAAGAGGAGGAGCATTGTTGTTCTTTGATTTGGAGCTTTCGTGAGTGGAGGAATAATTATTTTTTGGTTCTTTCGGTAAAGTCACGTAGAAAGAAAATAAATTAGATAATAGCATACGACGTTTCGATTGCAACACAAACAATCGTCATCAGGTACGAATTAATGAGAAAACAAACCTAGTAAACTTAGAAATGTAATGCAATACAACACAGAGAGTCGGCTAACACAACAGTCAACACCTTACCTGGTTGATTACGTTCTTCCAAAGAATGCTACATTTGAGAGAGACAAAATACAGACACGGAGACACGTAGACAGACAGACAAGCAGAGAGAGACAGACAACACAGAGAACATAAGCAGAGAGAAAGAGACAGGTAAAGGCCACTGAGCTGTTAGCTTTATTTTCAGAAGCGACCTGGCCACAAATGGGAGCTCATTGAAGTGGCTACAGCAGCCAAATAAGGGGCCGCCCATAAATGACGTCACGCGATTTTGGACGATTTTGACCCCCGGGGGGCTTCGTCACACGGCGTCACAAAAAGTCAGACGCCCCCTCAAATATGACGTCACAAAGCTCTGCCCCCCCCCCCCCCAAATATAAAACATGCTTCAAATCGCTTTAAACTATTGTCATTGTAGTGCGTATTTAATGTGGCGCTGCACTCTGATGTTAAAAAGTAAATTTAATTAAGTAGGACGTGTTGTCTATATTTATTTAAAATTGCGCATTTTGATGTGACGTCACATATCTCAACCCCCCCCCCCCTCGTCACACATCGTCACAAATGTCTGCCCCCCCCCTAGGTACGTGACGTCATTTATGGACGGCCCCTAATATAAACGTAAGTTGATTCTAAATGTTGAGGGAAAACCCGTTGTACCCGAAGGAAAATCCACGCGACCACGGAAAGAGAGACATGCAACCTCCAAATATACAGCCGCAGGCGTTAGGGTTAGGATCGAATCCACGACCTCCTGTATACCAGGCGAGGTAGTTAACATTTCGTCACCGTTCGTCGGTGGAACGAGACGTTCCGAACCCCCATCCCGCTCGGGAGTTACGTGATAAACTCGCCCAAAATATAATCAATAACAAAACATGTCTTTAATAAACATAAGTTTACCTTTGTGCGTGTGGGATACATTTTAGGTTAACAATCTTAAACCTATAAAAAGTATCTTTGGCCATTATCCCTCCGGGGTCGAAAAAATAAGTTGCACTTTATGGGGAAGTATGCAGTGCTTGTCCTTTAAATAGACTCGGCCATCAGCATAGGAATTCAGTTTTTTTTATTTGGTATAGCCCTGTGAGCCATTCGGCTCTTGAATCGGATGCAACCGCAACAAACAAAAAACAAAAACATGAACAAGAAAACATCTTAAAGTGACTATGTGCAAACAGAAAATCCAGGAAAAGACAGCAAAAAATATTGCAGAAAAAGCACCGTACACCAACGCTGTGTGCAAAAATCCCAGTGGGATGCAAGTCAAACAACAACAACCACAAGACAACTTAGATTAAGGCCATCAGTCTAACTCTGTACTACAACCAACAAACATGGCCAAACCAAAACACTTTTCGAATGTGAAATGTCCACCAGTGGCTCGTGGCTGTCGTCATGAGATGATCACCAAATGTATCAATGGCATTTGAGTCGGAAATCACAGTGACTTCGACTACTTAAGAGCATTTAAAACATCGGAGGGTGAGGAGGTGCTGAATCCTCAGCGACCGAATCAAAAGCACACGTATCCTCCTCTGGCGAAACCGAAGAATTGTAAAGTAGAGGCGAAGTTCCCGGTTCAGAAACCTCGTACGTGGCCATTTCAAGAAGAGATATTCACCTTCCAGAAGATAACTTCTCCTTTCGGGAAGAGAATGTCTTCCTCTTCCAGAAGATTCAAAACAAAAACTTCAACACATTCGTCAATGAACGCTGGTGGTGTGGTCTTGCAATAACAACACAAATACAGGTTGTCCTAACATTAATATACCAAAAATAACGTTGAATAGTGTTATTATTCGAGATACTGACATACATTTTAAATGAAAATATGTAATAGATTTGTACGGGTTTTTTTCCTTGAAATGTGTTATGGTATTGATTAGATATTCTCAAATTATTAATACACTTCTACATGTGAACCTTATGGCGGGACCCCGGGGTCCCATAAGCCCCCGGCTCTCGCATAAATTGCGTTGCGACGTCATTTTATATCTGTTGAAGGCGAACGATACGGTGATCTATTCCTCTCGACGAGCTCTACACGATGCGCTCATCAAAGTTTAAAAGTTTTGTTTATAACTACGGCAATTTTGGCAACGACATTACAACAGAATGATCCGCGCCAGGCGGGTCGCGTTTGTGTGGGACGGAGTCGCCAAAGATACATTAATTCATTACGATTTCGACTTCCTTTTATTCGGGACCCCGGGATCCCCCCATAAGATTCATGTGGTCCATCATTCACTGTAATTAATCTAATTCGCCGTTCAAACTCTGAGAACAAATATTCCATCCCTACAGGAGTCTGTAAGGGATGGAAAATTCGATGGATGATGACACAGCACCAACAACAATACGATGCTGAAGTTCTTCAAGGTATCTTGGTTTATTTTCTTGGTTCTTTCGGTAAAGTCACGTAGTAGGGAAGTAATAAAATAATAAAAATAAAACATAATGAAATAATATAATAATATTTTTATTATTTTATTACTTCCCTACTATGTGACTTTACCGAAAGAACCAAGAAGATGAATCCCTGCAGTCACGAAAGCTTTAAATCGAAAAGTCTCTTGGTTTTCTAGTGTAAGACTTTGACTTACATAAAAATGCAGAGATAAAAATAATAAATTGGTATTCGGTCGGGTGAACGGGCGGACTTGCAATATCGGAAAAATGGGGTTACTCCTGAAACAGGAAGAAAGTACCAATCAACATTAACAAACAAACTGAAACCTTTAAGTCTGCTGCATATATTAATATCAAATGTATGTCAGTATCCCTAATAACAATACATCTATTCACCTTTTTGGTATATTTATTTTCGGACACCGTGTACAGTACAGTACAATGTCTGATGCAACTCTTTTTAGTGCTGATTCGCTTAGCGCTCACTTCTCCAGGAGGGCATCTTGAGCACAAAGAGAGAGGTCTGCCCATATCACCAAATAACATTTTTAATGATCCAGAAGAGAAAACGTTCTCCATCCCAATGCACATCAATAAGGGTCGTTTCCCGAAACGTCGCCTATCATATATTACCTCTATTTTAATGCCACAGCGTTAATGACAAATGCGTTGTACGTTTTTTTTGTGTGATTTGTGATTGTGCACCCCGCTGTCAATGCAGTGGCATCATCAACTTGACCAAATTAAATAAACTCACAAACTCAAAAAGCTACCATCGCCGTACCACCTTCCTCTAGGGTTATTAACGACAACCGTTAAACCATTAATTGATTTCAGAATCAATAACCGGTTCCCAAAGTCAGAAACCGGTAATCGTTTTTAGTGGAATGTTCAATGTACAAACAGCACGGCGGCGTTAATTCACCGCCGGTCGCAGTTGAATTGTAAACACAAATCCATTACGTGTATTGCAAAGCACCTCAATACGTGTGCAAAAAACCGGTAACCGGTTTTTACCGGGGTTACCGGTAATGCAAAGGAACAATTTTAACAACAATTTTAACAAACATAATTTTACCCCATAAATAGGGTTTTGGGTTAGATCGCGTAAATACAAATGTGTTGTCAAACAGCCAATTACTAAGGTTTGCCACGTAAACACAACGTGCCAATTCGTTACTAGTCCAACACATTTGGGGGTGTGTTGGAGAGTAAACCCCCAACAATTCGAGTACGACGTTTTGCCGGTAATTGCAACCAGCATCATCAGGCGACAGACAGAATTGTGGATAAATCCCCCTCCTGTTTCGGTCTTAAATAGAGGTAGCGGATTAATGTGATGTCGTCACTTGTAAGCCAATGAGGTGCGAAGAGAAGAGGGGAGTGGGTGGGGTAATGTATTAACGTAAAATTACAATTAATCTCCAAAATGTGAGTTAAATGAATTGTCGTCTCCTTCTCAAAGACAACTTCCAAAATACATCTTCCTTTCTTCCAGGGAAGAATCTTTCATCTTCCAGAAGACACTTTTTCTCTTCCAGAAGATGCCATACTCTTCCAGAAGACATATTACTCTTCCAGAAGACATATTTCTCTTCCAGACGACATCTTCCTTCCAGGGAAGAAACTTTAATCTTCCAGAAGACCCTTTTCTCTTCCAGAAGACATCTTCCTTCATCCAGAGAAGAAACTTTAATCTTCCAGAAGACCCTTTCCTCTTCCAGAAGACATCTTCCTTCATCCAAGGAAGAAACTTTAATCTTCCAGAAGACCCCTTCCTCTTCCAGAAGACATCTTCCTTCATCCAGAAAAGAAACTTTAATCTTCCAGAAGACACTTTCCTCTTCCAGAAGACATCTTCTGCCATCACGAAAACGCGTTCGACGTCACCGGCAGCGATGGCGCCTCGGTGGCAGGAGTGGCCTTAAGCCCTCTCCCATCGCCCTTCCAGTTTGTTTTTATACGTCGGGGTGTGTGTGCGTTCTTTGTTGTTGCTTGTAAATAACCACGTAGAAGACAACTCTCTGTAAATACGCGCCGATTTATATTCGTTACGGCGAGGCGAGTGCGCTCCCGATTTTAAATGGGAGGCCTTTCCTTATCAAGATTCGCTCTTCTTCTGCCGCTGCTGCTGCTGCTCGCCATCGTCACGTCGGCGGTCGGTGCCACCCTGCAGAGGCACGAGCGACGTCTCCTCAGGTACCAACATCGAACTCCCATCGCTGCCGTTCAACGACGAGAACAAGCAACCCCCCCCCCCCTACACACACACACACTCCCCTCTCCTGCTCTTGGCAGGTGCAGATTCGCTCGGTCTCCTTGCAGCACCGGGGGTTCCATCTCGGGCGATGTCGTTGCGTATCGTACCGGGGTGTGTGTGTGCCACCGTGTAGTATCACAGGGCGATACTGTTATAGGTAAAACAAAAGATAAAGGTGCGGCCCTGACACGGTGGCGAGGAGATGTTAACTGCCTCGCCAGGTATACAGGACATATGCCGCGATAACAAGGTAATACCCCCTCACTTGAGACAGTACATCTATCTGCGACGGTCCCACCTGATGACGGAGACTTGTGTTGCCTCCGAAACGTCGTGATTTATTATTTTATTTATATTATTAATTTTATTTTTTACCTACGTGACTTTACCGAAAAATCCTAAGAGTATGAATTCTTGCAGTCACGAAAGCTTCAAATCTCGAAAGGTATACAGGAGGTGGTGGGTTCGAGCCCGACCCATGGCGCCTGCTGCTGCTGCTGCATATTTGGAGTTTGCGGTGTCTCTCTCGCCCCGTGGTCGCGTTGACTTTTTCTCCGGGTCCTCCGGTTTTCCCCTCCGGATTTAGAAGGAACATCACGCGTTTAAGAGTATTCGGCTGATTAACACGTAGGCTTTCGCGACCAATATTATTCATAATCAACGTTTTTGGGTTTAGATCACCATTCTGGCGATTTGCCAGATGATGCTGGATGCAATTACCAGCGAAACGTCGTACTACTCAAATTGTAAATGTTGTGGTTTCACGCTTCAACACACCGGTGGGCTAAAGCAGTGAACTAATTGTGCTTTGTCAACGTGACACTTTTTACTGATTGGCCGTGTCGGGTGGTGGAGGGTTACGACACATTTATAAATAACGCGATCTAAACCCAAAAACGTTGATTATGAGTATTCGGCTGCTCTACATTTCCGCACGACAAGCCACTTCGTTGAGCTATTAATTGTGACCAGGTCGCTTCTGAAATACTCATAGATTTAAAGCTTTCGTGACTGCAGGGATTCATATTCTTGGTTCTTTCGGTAAAGTCACGTAGAAGGGAAATAATAATATTGTTTTACTATAATATTTTTTATTTATTATTTACCTTCTACGTGACTTTACCGAAAGAACCAAGAATAAGAGGTATATAGCTCAGTGGGCATTGCCTGGTAAAAAAATAAAATACAAAGTTTAGTTTCTGTGATGAAAGGACATCCTTCACGCTAGCGAACTGGAGAGAGTGTATTTTTGGCCCGCACTTCCACGTTGAACAGAGACGCGTTTGAAGATATTGACTTACCCACGCTTTATCCCATCAGCAGCAACTTGCCGATCTGTTGGTGGTAACTTTTTGCTGCTGATGAGGCTGAGTGAACAGAGGTGCGTGAATTTTTGTTAGAACCTTGCCCCGTTTCCACTGCCGCTCTGGGAGATCGAATGGAATCGGATACCCTGTGTATTGCAAGTCCAGTATGATAACCATTAACAACATGAATATACCCTTTTAACAGTTGCCCTACTAAGATAATACATTGAGGAGAAAAAACAACAAGTATCCCACCAATCTCAAAACTTTGTTGAAAAATAAATTACCTAGCGAGTTATATCAGAATCGGTCTTGAACCTTCCCTTCAACTTCCACTTAGGGGCCGTCCATAAATGACGTCACGCATTTAGGGGGGGGGGTCAGACATTTGTGACGATGTGTGACGAGGGGGGGGGTGAGAAATATTACGTCACCTCAAAATGCGCAACTTTAAATAAATATAGACAACACGTTCTACTTAATTAAATCGACTTTTTAATAAAATGTTTTCTCCTACAACATCAGAGTGCAGAGCCACATTAAATACGCACTACAATGACAATAGTTTAAAGCGATTTGAAGCATGTTATATTTTGTGGGGGGGGCAGAGCTTTGTGACGTCATATTTTAGGGAGGGGGGGCTGACTTTTTGTGACGCCGTGTGACGCCGTGTGACGAAGGGGGGAGGGTGATGTTTGTTCAATAATTCACCGTGACCGAAAGAAGACGTGGCGAGGCCTTCATCCAGCTGTACATAATATAATTCATTGACGCTATTGCCACTCCCCACCAACACCGTCACAGCACTACCACAGCGGTCACCATTATATCACCACATCGCCAGTACATCGTCTTCACCCCCATGGACATTACAGGACCAGCACAGTACGACCTTTAACATGTCATAATGCCACCATCATCGCAATCGTACTTATGACACCACCACAATACGGTTAATGTTGCCACAACGACCATCGACGACTGGCAGCTGTCGTCACCATGAAGACAATTGTCACCGAGCCCATAACTATTGTGTTCTGACATGTCATGTATGATCTTTATAGATAATGTATGATCTTTTATACTTTAATTGTGTAATGTATAAACGTGTTTGTGACTCACCGTGTATTACATGTTTGCGTTGTGCTTGAGAATATGTACCCAAAGATGTGGATAATCCGGTGCCTATAACCACACTGTTCCAAACTTTCGCGAAAGGTGATACACATTGCAATTATTATTACAATGTTGCCACTGCCTTCAAATCTTTAGACATTTTTGAAAGCATAATGTAGTTCTCTTGTGTCGTGCAGGGTCTGTACGTGTTTCATTCCGTCAGCGGTGTTATGCCAATATGCCAGCCTATTCTCAATTCTCTTTCACTGGAAGAGTATGCAGGTGTCATGGTAACATTTTCTGCCTGCATGAGCTGCTATAGATCCACATCTAAACAAAGGTGACCTCTTAAGTGCTGTGTTGCATGAGAACCTCACGCCTGTAGCGTAACGTATTGAGCGACCGAAATATGAAATTGATTCTCCATGAGTATAGTTATTACCAGTGTAGCTCCTGGTCTTAGGGGTCAATGTGACTGCGTTATGTTAGTACTAAGCTTGGAAATGATTGGAGAGCGCAGTTCCTTTTAATTAAAGTTGTGTATAAGATTTAATTTAAAGTTAACGTTTTCTCATTGTAACATACGTATGCAAATGAAATAGACAGATGATGTGTGAAATTTCCAGCAAAGGCACTTGATGATTTACTATTGGCACAGCGTAGCTAAATGGAATGGATTTTAGAAAACAAAGAATTAAAAACTTACTTTTTCTTTAACTCCAATTAAATATATTTATTATAATTATAAAGCCAACAAATCATCAAGGAAAGTAACCACAGTGATGATAAAATAATGTGATAACTATAGTATAACTGCTTTACAATATGGTCATGTAATTTTATTTACATTTTATTCATCATATACTGTAGTGATGACTGAGATTAAACATCCGCATTTAGTTAATCAACTGGTAGGATACGCATCATCTGAGCTTTCAAGACAATGATGGAAGCCTACATTAGTGTTTAGAGTTCACACAATTATTTCGGCAGCGGCTTAAGAAATGTTCAGGTAAGAGGTGTGTGAATGGAATCCAAAGTGCCGTAAAAAGTGACAACACTGGAGTATAATAGTTAGCACAGTGTACTCTTTAACTAGGAGCACTAAGTTTGATTCCTAGTCGAGGAAGGACTGCCAACTCGAACATTATTATTTATCCACTGTCGTCTTTAAATATACTGTTGATTAGCGGGTATAAAGTACTGATTGCAATCGGGAATAATGTGCATGTCCCCTCTTTGGATATTTTAATATTAAAGACTTGGCTAAATGTCGTATAAGTTAGTGATGCCCTATGATTATAGTTGTGTGAGGAATGTGTCTTAAGCCTTCAGCAATACCATTGAGATCCGAGCAGATGTGTTCAAGCAAGCCTGTTGCATTGCATAAGCAAATTCTTATTTTGCTTGGCGGTGGTTCATTCAGCAGCGCGTATTGATGCCAAGTGAGAACATGATAACCAATTTTCCACCTTAAGCCATTTTGGGGAAATAAAGATTTGCTCACAAAATATCACATGCATATGATAGCACACACCACACACTCATCACATACCGTGTATGTACTACAGTACATGCCACGCATACACCACACACGACACATTCCAGCTCTCAACAAGAACCCACTACAGTATGGACTTGACCACATTGCGACGCTTGGCGTTTGGTTACAAAAAAATCAATACGTCCGAGAGAAGTAATGCAAGGCAGTGATATCAACATACATTAACTATTTAGCTAAGGTGTGATTCATCACATAGCCAACCCAAACGAATACATATGTAGTGTCGTAGGTCGCTTCTTCCTTACTCTTAGGTTTTTTCTTTTTTTTCTTCCTTTTCGAGGCTTGTGTGTGTTTGTGGGTGGCATGCGGCGCACACACACTCAGTCGGAGACGAGGTAGTCGCAGGGGCCACTGTCCTTCTTTAATATCTCTTGTTCACGCCACCAACTCCAGCCCCCTCTCTCTCTCACGACCACGCTGCCGTACGACCCGGCCCAGACATGACCCTGTCCGCTTTGCACCGACAGCGTCGACCGAGACAGCCAACTACAGATAGTCCCCGAGTTACGATGGTCCGACTTACGATATTTCGATCTTACGATGGCGATACGACAAAATTAGAAAATATTTTACATTTCGCGCGGCAGGCAAACGCAGCGGCATACGAGGTACGATGCTGTACGTTGGGATGCTGCCGGGATGTATGCATCTCCCACCTTTTCTATTAAATTGCAGTTCATATAGGTAGCCTAAGAATTTACCTTGTTTTTTTACTTTACATTTTACTGTGCAATACAGTATTGTAATGAATAAATACATACAGTATATAGTTTATACAGTACAGTACTGTAAATTGCTCTGTTTTGTTAAATTATCACCATTCTTTAAGACTCCTGGGTAGGCTATCTTCGACTTACGATATTTTTGACTTGCGTTACGACGACCCCATCGTATCTCCATCGTAAGTAGAGGACTACCTGTACTGTCCGGCCACGCAATGATCGAGTGAAGG